TAATACTTTACCTTACAATTATATTATTAACTTTTCGTACTCGACATGTTTTGTGTAGGTAGGAGGACCCACCCCACAACTGGCTAATTACTAGAGTAAAATGCAATGATACGGCAATGAAATTAGTTTTGTATTTTCTTTTCTTTTTGTTGTCTAATAAACACGCCCTAGTATTAAAAAAGAAAATAAAATGCTAAACTCATATTAATTAAAATATTTTGCAGTGTTCATTGCTATTTAAGTCCGGAATATATAAACAGTTTAATTTATAAATACAAATTAACCAGTGATGTAGAAGTAAAAAATACGTGTACGCTCGTTGGAACATGTGATTTAAAATAAAATTTAACTTAGTTATTTATAATTTTTTTTTTTTAAATGGAGGCTAAATCAATTTGTAATAATTTTCTTGTATTATCTACATGTTTGGCAAAAATTAAAATCAAGATTTTTTTAATTTATTTTTGAATCGGGCGTTCTCCTAATAAAATAATTTTACACGGAAACACATAATTTTTTTCTTACTTTTTAAACAAACATTCCTAAAAAAAAAAATCATTTAAAACAAACTCTACTCTCAAAAATCTACATCAAACTTATCCTTGCTAAACAAAGATACAACTTCATTTTCTTGAAAAGTTAAGGGCATGATTGGTTTGCATTTTAGTTTTCGATTTTGAGTTTTAATTTTATTTTTGATGTCCTATTTTGAGGGTATGCATTAAAATGTTGAAAACTCGTTTGATTTGTCATTCTAAAAATTATTTCTCAAAACATAAAACTGAATACCTTGTTTGGTTTTGAATTTGAGAAATTGTTTTATAGCAATTTATTTCATGAAATTTAATTATTTAGAATAATTTTTTTTTTTTGTATATTATTACGTAATATATATTTTAAAATTGATGAATCTTATGATATTTTTTTTTTTTTTGTTACAAAAATAAATAATGAATTAAATTGGTAAAAATAGGAAATAAAAAATGAAATTAAAGACTTGGATTGTGAATTTTTATCTGTGTTCATTTAAACATATATTTTTAAGTTTTTTATTTAAATAACTAATAAGAACTTGAAATATTTTAATTATTTACAAATTTTATTTTTTTTTATAGTTTTTGGATTTTATTTTTTAGAATTTTAAATTTACTTTCTAGAAAATTTA